CTATTTATTATTCGTACACTAGTTACCACTTCATCCTACATATCTCTTAGCAAGTCGATGTAGTGTCTAGAGACGCATTTCTTTTCCAACCCGTCAAATCAAATCTCGAAGTACTCTTTCATCAACGATCTCTAGATCAATACAGACCATGAGAAGGTATTGTCCTTCGCTCTAAGCTTTTCAATCAGTTGCCTAAGTAGGAAAATATCTTTAGTTGTTGAACTTCCTAGTATAAAACCAATTTGATTTTCAGGTACACTCGTTTCATGCCTTAGTCGTTGCTCAATGACTCTCTCCTAGAGTTTCATAGTATGACTCATAAGCTTGATCCCTTAATAGTTTGCACAATTATGTATGTCTCCTTTGTTCTTGTAAATAGGTACCGCAATTACTTTTCCTCCATTCTTATGGCATTTTCATTGTTTTCAACACTTTGTTGAGCAACTTCGTTAGCCAATCACTGCCAATTTCTCTCATACACTTCCAAATCTCTATTGGGATACCATTTGTGGTCCTAAAGCTTTTCCTATCTTCATCATTTCAAAGATTCTTTCACTTCTCACATCCTAATCCAACAAATGTATCTACGACCTCTGTCGTCACTTGTACCAATAGCCCCTTCTACCACTATATTCTCATTGTGTTCGTCATTCAATAATTTTTGGAAATAGACTTTCCACCTTTTGTTGACCTTAGCATCATTCACTAAGACCCTTTGATCATCACTCTTAATGCATATAATATGATTTAGATTCCTACACTTTTTCTCTCCTATTTTATTTTTGCTAATTTGAAGATATCTTTTCACCTTCTCTTGTTCCCAGTTTATTGTATAGATTATATCATTTGCATTAAGGTTAGTTTTACTCACTATTTGTTTAGCATTTTTTTTAGCATTTTTATATTCTTCTAAGTTTTGATCGTTTCTATTATACTGCCAAGTTTTATAACGTTGATCATTTTTCTCTAATGGCATTCTGAACCTCATCATTCCACCACCAAGTTTCATTATTGAAGTTTCTTTTCCCTCTATATTCTCCTAAAAATTATTTTAGGATTTTCTTGATACATTAGTCATTTCATTCCAAATTATATTGACATTATATTCAGAGTTCCATTTTCCTTCTTCAACTAATTTATCCCTAAATAAGTCTATTTTCTCATTTTTCTATTCTACCAACTCAATTCTTGGATGCCTATTACTTTTACCCCTTCTCCTTCATGTCTTTATGTAGATGTCCATGACCACGAGCCTAAGTTGGGTAGTCAAACTCTCTCTTGAGATAACTTTGCAGTCTTTACATGATGGTTGATCAACCTTTTTAATCAGGAAGAGGTCTATCTGGCTTTTATATGTTCCACTTTTATAGGTTATTAAATATTCATCTCGCTTTTTAAAGTAAGTGTTTGTTATTGTTAGGTCGTAAGCCCTAGCAAAATCTAGAATAGTCTCACCCATCTTATTTCTTTCCCCAAACCCATATCCTCCATATACCCTTCATATCTCCTACTATCCTTTTCTACATGATCATTTAGGTCCCCAACTAAAAAGGTCATCTCTCCATTTGGTCTGTCTTGGACTATTCCATCTATGTCCTCACACAATTGTCTCTTAATTCTATCATCTAATCCTACTTGTGGTACATAAGTACTAATTATGTTAATTATCTCTTCTTTTGATACAAGTGTAATTAATAAGAGCCTATCACTTATTCTTTTGACATTAACTACTTTATCTCATAAGTCTTTATTTACTATTATACCTATGCATTTCTATAATTATCTTAGGAGAATTTATACCAAATAGCAATATTACATTGGAAAGGTGCTAGCAAAATTTTGTAAAACAAAAAAAAGAATTCTTGTTCTAACTCACAATGTATCGTGTTTTTATACTTTTTTCTTATGAGAAGTAGTTTTTAACCCCATATTGATGATTTAGAAAAAGGGAGTCAAGTATATATAAAAAAATCCTCATTCTACACATGGGTGAGCATTTGAGGCACATTTTGTACCTCGTAAAATAACCACCCTTAGTCCAAAGTGCAAAATAAGTGATTGTTAGTTGTTTGAATTTAGAAATTAAAAAAACAACCACCTTTAACCACCGATGATATTGATGATTATTTTGATGATATATTTTGTAAACAAATGTTAGTATTAACAAGAATGTGACTGTTAACAGTGTGAAAACATGTCTATTCTCTAGGTCTTTGAATTTCCTCATGTATCGTTCAAAATGGCAACCTCTTTGGTGCTTCTTGGTTTTAGTACATGACCAAGTTAAAGTTTGTTGTTCATCTGTTTCATTGTGTCCGGAAGATATATCCACTTGAAACCCTTGAGGTACACTAAGATTTACTTCAAATAAAATATAAATATTATCTTGAGAAAGTGCTATACTAGAATGTGCCTCAAAGCACAATATACAATTTCACTATATCTTTTATGCATTAACATTTTCTCTTGCACACTCACACATGAATTGATTATTTATGTATTTTTTGCCCCCCTTTCGCCCTCTGATATTTAAAAAAGAGGTCTTTTACATAAACTGTGGAAACATTACCATTGAAATACTTTGAAAAATTAGCAAATCAATTTGGCTGGAAAACTATAAAAATTAAGGTATAAATAAAGGTAGCCCATTAAAGTCAATCATAAGTACTCTACAAATTATGTAGCAGATAAAGTTGCCCATTTTCTAATAGTTATCTTACCATTCGAAATTGGTTCCATGGGAAAATATAACGTGCTCCCTATTTATCATTGGGGCTAACTTTTTTTTTTGACAAGTTATAAACTTTTATTGATCTGCATAATCATTGAAGTACAAATTACAGTGTATAAATATTTTAAACCTCCAAATCTAACAAGTTGACACCCCTTTTAGCTAGCTCATTAGCCATGTCATTAGCATTCCTATAGATGAGTTAAGGAGATGTTAAAGAAAGACCCAATCGCCATGATAGACAATTACATCGATCTCAATCTCCATGACACTCTTTGCTCCTTATGTCACCATTTGATGACATTTAGAGAATCACCTTCCATAATCAAATGGCCCGAGGATAATCTTTCTCTGCATAATCTTAAACCCGTGAGTAGAGCCATGGATTCTGCCTAGTTTGCTATGACTTCACTATACGGTCTTGTAAAACAGAAAACAACATTGGGAAAAGAATCACCTACCACTCCCCCCAAGCCCCCATGGCCCGAGTTCCCCAACAAGCTCCCGTCAAAGTTAAGCTTGAAATATCCTCCGCCAGAAGATACCATGTCATTTTAGGTTGAGTGATGGAAGAGGATTGCATGGCCAATACCTTAAGGTTTATAGCAACATCCACGTCATTAGTGCCCCAACCTTCTTTTATGATTGTTCTTGAACCACCTTAGATAAAGATGGTCCTCAATTTTGAACGCCCCTCTAAATCAACTTCCTCCCATAATGATGAAGTTTTTGAACACAAAACATTTGAAATCCTTTATATTTGTTCTTTATTCCAATGGATGGTCCAAATTTGTGGGGATCTTTTGGGGAGGCAAGGAAGTTTCATTTTTTGAGGTGAGATAAAATGTGTACCCCTAAGAGTGAGGGTGGTTTGGGAATTAGGAGGATCATGTTTGTTAATAAGGCTCTACTTTGTAAGTAGTGGTAGAGAAGCTTACATTTGAAGGATCAATTATGGTATAGAATTCTAATTGCCAACTATGGGCAAGACATGCAGGGCATGTGGATTGGAAAACGTAAGGGAAATTCCAACGTTTCTTTTATGTGGAAAGCTATCTTCTCCTGCAAACCTTTGATATAGTAGAATATCTGATGGATTGTGGGTTGTGTCCTTTTGGCATCAATAGCCGTTGAAAATTTCCCGGGGCTCTTTGATAAACCAAATAAAAAGGTAGCAGATGTGGTGGAAAATTTGGGTAATCGGGTGGTTTGGAATCTTAGTTTCCCTTAGAACAGATTACCGGATGGACTCTACAGTGAGTATATCAGTCCTATTCAGGAGCTGGATGATTTGTACATTTCACATAATGTGTGTGACAAATTAGTGCAGGATGTGAAAAATGATGGACAATTTACAGTTAAGTCTGTGTATAGGCTATAAGCTACTATTCCATGATCATTGGCGATGGTCTTTACCTCAAGCTGCATAAATTTGGATGTGGCCTATTCCTCATAAAAAATAAGCATTCATTTGGTTGGCGGTGCAAGATAAAATTCTCAAATCTTTGAGTATTTCCAAATCTTTGAGTAATGTGGAAGGAAGATGGAGAAAATCGTGCCCACTTTTTTTTTTACATTGTTATTTTGTTTCCAAATTTTGTGATGATTATTTATTCGTGAAACACAAATATTTATTAGTTGTGAAATTGTTCAGTGACTCATGTAGAATTTAAAATATTAGCGTCATTTGCAGGTTTATAACTTTTTTCAAGTCAGTCACCCCTAAAACTTTGTTCAAAACAGCGACGGTAAGAACCACGATATAGTTACATGCATGAGCGCAAATGGTTATTACCATAGATAGAAATTACCAAAATATCATACTTTTTGTATGAGACTGAGGGCCTAATCAATCAAAGTAAGGTGCACCTTCAGTGCTCAGACATGTTTTAAAATAAAAAATCTTTGTGAGGCTGAAAATTTATTTTTTGACAGTCTAGATAATATATTACAAGATGCATTATTTCCGAGACTTGCAATCTATTTTTTCTCATGTCATACATCTTGAAGTCGAGATGATTGCATTGAGTGTTTATCAACATCGTACTAAACCTCTTATAGTAAATTTTTGAGGTGCACCTCAATTTGATTGTTTAGGGCCTGACCCTCATATGAACTTTTTGACCCTTATATAAACTGTTTCCTTCTATTATTGTAGGGAGAAAATTAGTTTGGTATCAATAAATATTTTTATGATGTATGTGCATGAGCATATAATGAATTCATTTACCAATCCATTTTCTATCCGATATTGCAGAACTAATTCGTCTAATGGAATTTGATTTTTTTTTTTTCAAACTCTCTCATGGAATATGTTACAATGATAAGGTTCAAATTGCAACCAACCTATACTGTGATGTATGCGTATGGGAATGCATATTACATATATAGAGTGGCAATTGATGCATAGACATGCGCATCAATATAAGTAGGGGTGTAAAAATTGGGTTCATGAAATCATCTCACGTTGAACAGGGATCCATTTCAATTGCAATTCCACCTCCCCACGCTCCACATTTCTGAGTCTGAGGCATACATCTTGTACGACTGTGTTAACCTCCCAGCTTATGCAGCTCACTTCGGCTAAGCAGTTTTGCCTACTCGGTATAAGTTTCCGGATAATGGTACCACTTGGGACCCCTTTCAGATCCATGTTTACGGCTTCCATGAACGGTTGAATGTCGAGCTCGGCATCACCCATCTTGTCATCCCGGCTGAATGTGTCCTTGTCATAAACTCTCTGCAATAATCAATTATGAAAATGTCAATGATGATGTTGAATATAATGATAGTGGCAAATGATGATGTTGAATGTGATGATAGTGGCAAATGATGATGTTGAATATGATGATAGTGGCAAATGATGATGTTCAACATGATTATAGTGGCAAATGATGATGATGACGACGACGACGATGTTTAATAGGCGTTCATGCACATGAACTACTTCAATGACAATGTGTAGATGTTATAATTTGGATGTCCTAAATACGCAAGAACATTAGGGATCTAAAAACGCCTCTATTGTGTGAGGAGGCACTTTGCAACTCGTTAGAAACTATAGATTACCCATGGTAAGAGGTACAATGATAAAGACTTTATTGGGCAAAAATGGTTGTTTTGCATGATGGTTGATTCCCAGTGACAGATTTTGGAGGCTACTGAAAATCTCTCTTTCACACACAGTCCCATGTGCATAAATCAGGATCAGGTAACTTTACATGCAAATCACAAACAAGAGAACAAGCACTTTACACCAGGCCAGACCTTTAGTCTTGAAAGATCTCTCTCTCTGTCTCACTCTTTCTCTCTCTCTCTCAAGATCAGATTTCAATAAGTCTCATACAGATATAATTTGGAAAGCAAAAGATTTTTCCTGTGAACTCTGGATATTGACATGGGAGTTTCCATTAAATGCAGAGTTTTTAAAGAAATGTTTCCTGTGTATTTAACATTTCAGTTGATTTCAAATTTCTTTTTGTTCTTCATATGGTTTCAATATTCTTCTTAAACTATATAAGAACCATAAATTATTGCTAGGAGATCAATCCACATACACTGGAGTATGCTTTAAAGCAGAAGTTAGATGTTGGACACAAGGATGAGGATTTCCATCATAAACTACCTAAACAAAGGACCAGTAACGGTAAGTCTACATGTTCTTTGAGAAACTCTAGTAAAATGAAAGCTACTTCTCATGAGGGAAAAAGAGATCTAAACATTGTAATAATGGCAACAAAGAAAATGTGGAAAGAATAATAATTTTCAATACATAAAAGAATCAAGAAAGATACTTACAAACTTGATTGGCATGATGGGATTAGAGACTACAAGTGTCAAATTTTCGTTCCATGTAGGATTGGTGTTCCTTTTGATCACTCGAGTCTTCAATCTCTGAATGAAAGTTTCACATAGATAAAGTATAAATAAATCAGCCACTGGATTCAATAGTAGGCAAATAAAATTAAAATTCAACAGCAAATTGCATGTATACAATCAACATCATAATTAGAAGATTACCATGATTTGCATAAAATTGGGTCCTAATTTGTAACAAGTATCGATTATTGAAATAACTAGTGCAATTTTCTGCAAAGGTCCAGTATTTCAGAAAACAAACTTGAATAAAGTTGCATCACTGTGGTTGAAAAATACAAAAATAATAAATTTGGTCATTTGTACCAGATGTGAACCTTCTAAAGCTTTAAGAACTAGATGATCAAGGCAGGCATTAAATTTTGGTCTATTATAAGAAGTCTACATTATTGAAAATAAATAGTACAGTTTGTTGTTTAAAGACAGCGCCTTAATGTTTTAAAAAGAACACTTGAATGGATTAACATCACAGTTAACAGATGTCTGGGCATTTGCACCGGATGAACTACTTCTCATGCTTTACACAATTGATCACTGAACTCATAGTATAATACAATCAGCATACGTTCTAAATAGTTTCCATATTTATTTATCTTCAAAACTGTTAATTGCCTGCAATATATTGACAAAATTTATGATGTGATTGATACCCAAAATGATGCTAGAAAATAAGCTGTAATCTCAAATTAAGGGGGACACAATATCAGATGAATTATTCACTAGAGTTCTTGTTCCTACACACCTAGAAGAAATGGTTTAGCTAAAAAGACGGATGAACGTTTCCATGGAACTACTAGAATCGTACTTTGTTGAGTTTCTTCTATAAGTAAAGCTTTCTTACTATAGAGGCCTTCTATTTTGAGCTGCGCATATTTATTTGAGCTATAAGTGATGGCTCCATTTTCATAAGTCAATAACGATTCCCTTCCAAATGGCAGCCCGCTAGAAGTGACATCAGTTTCCCCTGAGTGCATTGACTGAAGACCCACAAAGAGGAAGAGTATTTTGTAAAGGTGGATAAAGAAGGCTTCTTGAACTACTTGATGAGTCAAATAGGTCATGGCAGTCAATTGCAGAGGTGAAGTAAAGGGCTGATATCCTTAACCTCTTTCTTGAACACATTGTTCCCTAAGGGCTTTGTGATAAGCTCCTAAGCACTGAGGCAGGGGAGAGACTCCTCATTCTTATATCCTATTGTTCTCGAGGACCTTATTTGCACAACTGACCAAGTGGCCAGCTTGGGTGACATTGAAGGGTTTGGATCAGGGTTATAGTTTAGGTTGTGTTCATCCTCAGTTCACCTTTAATCAATAGTCAGAAGCTCAGCTCAGGCTAGGACCTTGGCAACTGCCTGAGCTGAGCAACTCCGGCTAGTCCTAGAATCATGTATGAGCTGAAAGGGTACCTTGTCCCCAAACAAGTGGTAACAAAATATAATAAAATAAAACTGACATAATCACATGACAGTCCTTAAAAAATTGACATAAATCTCAAATTTTAAAAGCTTATATATGAGATAATCTTTCTATAAGTACCGTTACATGCCCTTTTTTTGTTTGGTCTCAAGGTGTCATTCTTTTGGCCCCCCCAAAAAGAAAAAAAAAGCACTGACATAATCATAAATCTGTAAAATATAAGGACTCACGTGATTATGTCAAATTTTCTTTATCATACTCTGTACATCTGCATTTGTTTGGCTACACCAAGAGATTATATAAGGTACACGAGTCTGTACCTTCTACTCTTGTGGCAGGGTATCTAGGCCTAGTAACTTAGCAGAGTCCAAGTTGACTCGGCTGAGTTTTTGAACAATGCTTTTGATAAGCTGGTTCTCCATGAGGCAGAAACCATTCGAGCCAACAAGCTAAATGGTCTTTAAGTTTCCCACACAAAGGGCAGTTTATAAGTTTTCTTTTTTAAGAAACTTTTTCAGGTTATAAATTCTTCCCAACAAAACTTATGTTTTTTAAGTATTGGGTATCACGGATCAGATGAGAAGGACACTACCAGTGACTTGGCTTGTAAGTTGTAAGGTTGAAGCATCGCCATAGGTATCTTGTTGTTCCTCTATGCATAGAAGAACTGAAGAGAAGCCTCTTTTTTTTTTTCACAATGTAACCGAAGGGAAGCCTCTTCAACTTGGAGATTAAGAAATACGAGTGAGTAAGGGAGTTTCAAAACATAAAATTCCTTAAGAGGAAAGGCACATCAACTCATGTACCATAAATTCCATGTCAATACGCATGCTTATTCACTAGTTATTTGATTCTTCTTCTTCAGACAACAGGAAACCTGCTTTTTCTCAACTTTCACAAAGCATAGAAGTTCAATTTACTAGTCATCATCCCTCTTAACAAACAGAGTTCTTTGTTTTTCTTCTTTTAATCAGCAGAAGCGTGATTTTGGAATTTCAAAACTCAACTAAACATGGATAGATTTCTCAAAAGAGACCACAAACATAGAAAAAACAAAAAGATATCCATAAAGAGCGTAGTAACAACGTAACAGAACATGAAAATCCAGAACCTACTTTTTGAGCTATCACATCGGCTCATTTCCAACAAGGATGACAATATTATTTGATTAACCTACAGAAAACTACATAACGGGAGGAAGTCGAGAACGATTCCCATAATAACACATACATGTTCTGCACAAAAGACATAAAGAAATTGCAAAAGCTAGCTAATAATTGGAGTGCAGAATACTTTCAGAGTTTAAGATGAATTCTCTCAAATGAAGAAACAACAAACCCGCATATAAAACTAATACATGTCACCCGAATTTCTGAATATTTCTAAAGAAAAATGCAGGGGAGAGAGAGAGAGAGAGAGAGCATAGATTCATATATATTTCCCATCAAATTTATTCTAATTGTGCAATTTCGAAAGGGTTATATGGGACTGATAAAACGTAAAAAATACCATAGATCATATCAAACAGAGATTCATTATCAGATCAAAGGCTTGAATCAAGAGTGTAGAGAATTCAGATTCTAAGTAAATGGATACAAAACAGAAGCTCAAAAATGATTCACAATTCTAGAGAGGGAGACACCTGTTTACCCATGGAGAGGATGACATAGGGATCACTGCTGAGGAGATCTCTGACAGCTAAATTCACTCCTCTAATCACTTGAACCCTCAATAATCCAGTCAACCCCTTCTCCATCTCCTCTTTCTCTCTCTCTCTCTGTCTCAAACCCAAAAACATCAGCAATTCAAATGCCTCTTCTTTCTCTCTCTCTCTCTCTATAACAGTTCAAAACCCCTTGGCTCTCCTTTCTCTCTCTACAGGGGGGAAATTATTTGGTGAAAAATAGCAACCACTATTGCTGCTTCCCCTGTCACTCTTGTGATCAGTGATGTAGACGGAGTCTCGCTCTCTTTTTCACAAACAGATTCTCGCCTTCTTATAAAGCGGTTGGAAATCTTCTCCGCTGTTACATGCATTTATGATTGTTCTAGAAATGCCCCTGACGAAAATCACGTTGCACTCTATCGGGCCAGCCCGGCCGAATCTCTCAAAGGGCCCGCTAGGTTGAATAAAGTTATAAAGAAAATTAATAGAAAAAAGAGGGCCGGGATGGACTGCCTATCTTGGTCTGGCCTAAACCTGGGTCAGGGCCACATTTTGTAGCCCGGATACTAATTATTTAAGGCCTAGCTGACCAGGCTGGGGTTTGGACCACCTGACCCATTGCCACTTAGGGGTGAGAATTTACCATGGTTGGATCTGAAACCCGAATTTTAGACTATATTCGGATCCAAATATGGATTTAATATGTGCATCCGACAGGTCAGATCCAGATTCAAATTTGCATATAAATAGTAATTTGGATCCGATTTAAGCACATGTGGATCCAATATGCATCTAACACAGGTATTAGAATTTTATATCTATAAAATAATACATAACAAAAAACATTTTAATATATAAAAAAGATATTATATAACATTTTTTGTTATATACTATTCTATAAATATAAAATCATATATAAAATAAATTTTTGGATCTAGTAGATCCAGATCGATATCCAAATCCTGAATGAAATTTTTGGATTTGTGAATATATTCGATTTGATATATTTTTTAAATCTATATCCGAGTGAATCCAAACCCGACCCGACCCATTCTCCGCCATTTTGTCGCCAACCCTTTAAAAAAGATCCTTTCCCCCATGGGTTTGAAAAGTATGATGCATTTTGTCGTTTGAAAATGACAACGGTCAGTGTGCGCTTCTACCCCCCCAGCTCACCAACCACCTCTTTGGTTAACAACTTGCGCTCTACGCGTAAGCTCACAAGTTTCTTGTTGAGAGATTTTGTGCTCGTGTGGGAACATGTTATTTATTTACTCCCTCATGTTAAACCAGGACTATTTTTAGGACCTCAATAACCTCTTCAACCTAGAGGTCAAACTCAGAGAAATAAAAATAAAATGAAATAACTTAAATTCAAATATGTGTAAAAAGAAAAAAAAA